TACTTTGCATCCTTCGGGGCACTCGTGTCGGAACCGCTCGGACATCACTGCTGGTGATGGTTGTGGTCAGTAGTGGTGATGTCTTCGACCGATTCAATGGATCTATAGATATGTCCGTCAATTGAGTCCACGATTTAAAAGTTTGCAAAAATAGACACAATTTGTTGAAATCTTTTTGTGTATAAAGTGTTCAATAATTATGTCATAAATTGCAGTCTTTTTTGATTTTATTATTCATTAATTAATTAAATGTAATTCTGTGAAAACCTATATGATTTGAGCTTGCTTATTTTACACTTAATTTTAAAATCTGTTGTAAATTAATATTACCTCAAATATGAATTATTTTTAAAGATTAAAGGATTAATGATATACAGTATTAGGGATTAATTACACAAATCAATACGTTTTTTAATGCAAAAATTTTTTTTATTACAGTCTTATCTGCTTATAATGTGTGCATAAAATACAAATAACACATGATTTGACATTCAAATGAATATACAGTTGATTCAGATATGAGTTTTAAAAATCATTAAAACTATACGCCATGCAGTTTATAGTTTAAATTAATTAATTAATTAAAAATTAATTTATAAACTTTAATAAAGCTCTGTCTAATGTAGTTTTCAAATATTAATACATAAAACCTGTGCCCAAGTATACACTGATGTCGAGCCCGGTTAGTACTTGGGAGGGAGACCACCTGGGAATACCGGGTGTCGTAGACTTTTTTTATACATTTTATTTTACTTTTTTACTTTTCTATTTGCTTTAATCACAATTAAGTGCTCATTACTTATACATTATATATCATTGCTTTAATTAAGCCAGAATTCGCTTAGATTTTTAGATTTTAAGCTTAGATTTACCTGCTTAACTATTCTAGACACTTTTTTCTATGATATTAATATTCATTTATTCATTTGTATTAGGTTGGCGATTTTGTGTGCTTTAATTATAGTTGAAAAAGTTGTGCACTACCTATAATAGCTACATATGCACAGAATAACCCTGTTAACTTTCAGTATCACATTATTCTGTGCACTGAATTCTGTATCAAAATTCTGTTAAAAAACTGTTCGTAAACAATGTCTACACAAAAGTCGTGACATTTACTCCCCTTTGGGTTAGCATTGAATGCAATGAACACTCATTTATGAGACGTTTTTTGTATTCAAAAGATTTTGTTTACGAAAAATGTTTCAAAAAAACTTTTGTTTTGTTTTTGTATTTATTTAGCGATTAAGTGATGAATAAAATGCAAATCAAGTCTTTGCTGCAGAAGACGGTCATAAGCGCCACAAATGGACACAACAGTCACCGCCACTACATCGCCACCGGTTCNAAAAAAACTTTTGTTTTGTTTTTGTATTTATTTAGCGATTAAGTGATGAATAAAATGCAAATCAAGTCTTTGCTGCAGAAGACGGTCATAAGCGCCACAAATGGACACAACAGTCACCGCCACTACATCGCCACCGGTTCCGCCACCACTACCGGTGCGGCCACACAGTCGGTGCCCACCGAAGCCAAAGTGATTATCTATGGCAACGACTTGACCGCAGTGTCCATCGCCTACCAGTTGTCACAATTGCCAGACTTTGGCCACAACTGCATCGTTATCACCGGCAATAAGTCCAACACAACCACACATATGATGGACACGACAGTGACCGGCCATCGCACCATTAACTCGAGTCTCTTGAATCACATGATTGTCGCCAACCCAAGAGTCTCGCAACTGATTCAATACAGTCGACAACTGTTTGACGTGACTTCTTGTGGTGCGCTATATGTGGCGCACAATCCCTGGACTCTCGACTCCTTCCGGCGCCGCATCTCTTCAGCCAAACTCGTGTTCACTGGCGATGACCCCAAAGGACAGGCCATCGACTTATTAACCAAAGAGGAGATCCAGAGCCGCTTCGGACAGTATCTCAATTGCGATCAACTCTTAGGCGGTATTTATGTGCCAAACGATGGCATCATTGAAGACATCGGTGGACAACAGCGCAGACTCTGTGAGATGGCGGCTAAGAATGGCATCAAATTTATGGATAATTTACTCTTAAATAAGATTAACATAAATAACAATAAGGTCTCAAACGTAGAGCTCATTGATTGTCACACCAATCGTATTAAACGTATTGATTGTCAGTATTTCGTCAACTCTGCCAACAATTACTTGACTCGACTTATAGCCAAACGGTGTCCCACGAGGGTTAGGATACCCACCCTCTGTGTATACAATCACCTGATGGTCACTAAACCGTTTGATGGTCTGGTGGACAGCAGTGGTAGTGATAGTGTTGTTCCCATAATCCATGACTTCGACCAGAAGTTTACGGTTTATCAGACGTCCGACCGATCCCTATGTCTAACCGGTTATGAAAAAGTGTCAAAAATTCTTCAGAAAAGTATTGATATTTTATTCATATTTTCAAATGCAGACAAATATTACAATTAATTATTTTGATGATTATTTGTCATAAGTTTTGTCGGAAAACGACAGAAACGGAGGACTGAACACAGAGTTACCGGAAATACACGAAAATTGGGACGACTTTTATCGCATATTGAAGCCAATACTAGAGCGCATACCGGCGCTGAGCGCCGCCAAACTCCACAAACTGGTCGCTCGACTCGAGAACTTCACGCCCGACGGCCGCTCACTGATCGGCGAAGTGCCAGAAATTGGTAACTATTTGTTGGCGGCGGCCGTCGCACCGCAATTGGCCGCCGGCGCCGGGCGTCTCATTACAGACATTATCACCAAAAATGGCAATTCGTTTGGTCACGACTTCTGGTCATTAGATCCGCGGCGCTTCATATCGTCGCAAAGCAATCGCATATATCTGTTCGATCGGCTCCGGGAGGTGCCCGCGAAGGCCAGATATAATATCAATTACCCGGCGCCTCATAACGACTACGAGACCGCACATGGACTCCGAACGAGTGCACTGTACCCCCGGTTCAAACAGGCCGGCGCTCTATTCCAACAGATTATGGGCTATGAGAGGCCGGCCGTCTATATGGGATCCACAGACCCGGATGACTATCAGGACTACCAGTCCGGTCTGTCTGACAGTGAGACCCATTCTGCCACTGAATCACTGAAACACAGGTTTCTGGAGACCCAGTCTTTCGGTCGTCCGCATTGGTTGGAAGCCGTGCAACAGGAATACCAGGCCTGCAGGGAAAGGGTGGCTCTTCTCGATTACTGCAGTTTTACTAAATTAGAGCTGAAGTCGCAAAACGATGAGGTGGTGGAGCTGTTGCAATACCTGTGCTCTAATGACGTTGACGTCAATATTGGCTCTATTGTGCACACGGGTTGGTGTATACAAGACTTGCACTACAAGTGCTTATTATTGTAATGGGAATATAATTATATTATTTCAATCATATGGACAGGTATGCAGAACGAAAGGGGCGGTTATGAGAACGACGTCTCATTGATTCGTTTGGCGGACAACCACTATATGCTGGTCGGGCCCACAGAACAACAGTCCCGGTGTATATCATGGGTTAAATCGCATGACTTGGAGTCGAGTGTCGACATCCGGGACATATCGGGTCAGTACACAGCCCTGTGTCTGATGGGCCCGCTGTCCAAACAGGTGTTGAGCGAAGTGGTGGCCGACCCCTCAGAGCTCAACACCTTTCCATTCTTCACGTACAAAGAGTTGACGATTGGTTTGGCGCACTCCGTGCGCGTGTGTAACCTGACGCACACGGGGGAGTTGGGTTGGGTGCTGTACATACCCAACGAGCACGCGATGCACGTGTACGACCTGCTGGTGCGCATTGGACAGCGCTATGACATGAGACACGCGGGCAGTATTGCGATGCGAACGCTGAGGATCGAGAAGTTCTTCGCCTTTTGGGGCCAAGACTTGGACACAACGACTACACCTCTGGAGTGCGGCCGCAGTTTTCGCGTGAAGTTTGAAAAAGACTTTTTGGGTAAACCGGCGCTCGTTAGGCAGCGCGAGGAGGGCGTACGGCGCCGGTACGTACAGCTACTGCTCGACGGCTTCGACGACAAGTGCCAAATCTGGCCCTGGGGTGGGGAACCCATATTCATATGCGACTCCCCGTACGATAGTAATGTTCCCGTAGGCCTGACCACCACCACGGGGTACGGGTTTACGTTGGGACGGCACGTGTGTTTGGGTTTTATTAGGCATCCCTTGAATGAAGTGATTTCTAACGACTTTATACTGAAGTCTCGCTTTGAGGTGGAAATCGGTGGCAAACGATTCAAAGCGCGGACTAATATCCATTCACCCAAACTGACGGACGTCACCGGCAGTTATTTGGCCACCCGTTCCGGGCCTGACGTCTAATTACAAATATTTTACAATTGTGTCAACTCTTAATGTGATTGCAATCAATCAATTCAATTGTGTCTTAATTTATATTCAAATTATTTTCTGTTTTTAATTGTTTTGTTGGAGTTTTGTTTTGGTTAACAAATTAAGTTATAATAAAAATTATATTTACAGTTAACTCTCAGTCATTGTCTATGAACTATAGATCACATCACTATTGAGTAATTAAATTATTTGTAATTATTATCTCATTTATGATTGCTATGAATACTTGCAGTCTTAAAAGCACTGAAAAAGTTGACAAAACTTACAAAACTTCTCATTCAACGCGTACTTACTGTAAGCCATAGTGTTGTGAATGAATCACATGTTGTTTACCAATGAATGAATGCATTGATTAAAGTTTGCATTCATTTGATTGTGTAGTGAATTGAGTGACAAAACAATGTATTTATTGTCCCAACGATTGTCACAACAGCTGATCCGCACCAACGCCACCGCTTTCGGCGTCTGTTGCCATCACTTGAGGAATAAGTGGCAGTCGTTTGTTGTCGTCAACAATAGGTTCACAAAACGATATCTTCGCGCCTCTTCGGCGGTATTGACAGCAAATCCAAACCACAAACCAATTAATACTGACATCAATGCCAACAAAGAGTCCAATGATTACAATGTATGTCACGTTTGTCTGTAATGTCTTGAGCTGTTAATCGATGGTTAAATGTGCGGTCATTTGCAGAAAGTCTTCACATTTCCCAACGTGTTATGTATGACACGAATCGCGTTCACACCAGTGATCGGGTATCTGGTGATCGACCAGCACTTCACGACTGCCCTAACCCTGTGTGCCATCGGATCCATCACTGACCTCTTGGACGGCTACTACGCCCGCAGATACAACTGTGTGACCAAATTGGGCGCTATATTGGACCCGTTGGCCGACAAAC